TATGTGGAAAAAAAAAAATATAAATTCTCATTTTATGCTGTATTTTGTACCTTAGTTGTGTTTGAATATGTTTTGATTTTTGAAAACAATCAAAATAAAACAATGGCATCTTTGTATCCACTTGGCGTGTGTGGGTGGTGATGCTCCACCACTGAGCTGCTGTGCTTTCCTGCCTAACAAAAACCAACTTTCTGGAAAAAACTGAGCTATCTGGACTTGACTGCAGCAGACATCCTTCCCTCAGTGTGATGCTGACTTGAAGTTTTTGGAATGCAACTTAATTCCACCCCATTATTCCCCTCCACACCTGTCACAGTTAACTGGAATGGGCAGATACTCCATCCTGGGCTCCCACTGGAATTGTTACACAACATGCTTCAGTCCAGGTATTTATCATAGAATTTATTTCCCATTTGTTGCTTTCTTGAAGTTTTTGGGTTTTCGGTGATGGCTCTTGAATTTCTTCTTTAAAGGGCCTGTCTGTTTCTGTAGAGAAAAAAAAAAGTCAATCAGCTTATTTCCAACATCCAGATCAAGCCTTGCCTGAGACAGCTTAAACAGAAACTGAGTGTGATCTCCTTCAGGAGCCAGAATGAGCCCAAGTCTGCTCATGAAGCCAGGATCCTGCAGCTCAGCAGCCCTTTCTGATGGTTTCATTAGGTACAAACTGACAGGCTCCCTGCAGCAATGAATCCAAACTTTATCCAGCCCTAACTTTTTAATTTGACACATTTTTTATAAAGTAAGGTAGTGCCTCAAAAGTAGCAGAAAAATGGTCTAGAGAGACTCTGTGACTGCAAAAGTTTAATTTTTTGGATATTTTGAGAACAATTACAGTATCCACAGGATACACATCAGCTTTCCTTCCACAATGGTGTGGGGCAGGATCCCACCCTAGATGAGCTCTTTGTACAGGCAGGAACATCCCTCACTACCCCAGCCAGGATAAATATTGCCTGGCAGGAATTCACACCTCGGGATGCAAGTCACTGTCTGGCACACAGGGAAAAATCTATTCTGAACAGCTTTGCACCTTCTGCTGGTTCCCAGACAGGAATAGCTGGCACACCTACGGGCTGGGATCCCAGCTGCACAGGCAGTGGGATGACTCCCACCTTTCCTCTCTTGCCAGCTGCTCTGCTGCTGTCCTTCCTTGCCCCGTGCTCTCCGTTCTGCTTGACCCCGTCGTCCTCGCTGTCTGTCACGAAGTCATCGCTGCCCTTTGTGGGCTCTGGAGCTGATGGGTTTTTTTCTGGGAAGAGCGCAGCTAAAAAAGATTCAGCTCAAAATCAGTTCCCTGTGCACGCAGGCTCTGCCTCCCCTCGCTTTGCTTTAAAGCTGCTTTCAGTCACCACGTGTCACTACTGAAATACTTGGGAAATAAACACGCTGGTGTTTTATTGGAAATGTGCCTTAGTGCTTTCTATTCAGCACAGGTGGTGCCAAATGTTACACCTCTGCTCCTGCATCAAGATGGATTTGCACCTCCAGATCTAAGCAGAACGGCCTGACCACTTTCTGTCCAGGATTTGCTGAGAAAACAAGGAAAGTGGAGATTTCTAAAACAGCAAATCCCAGCAGATCTCATATCCCTTCCCTCACACCTTGCATGATCCAACTTGTTATTAGCATTGACTATTTCTTATTTGGTGGTGGTAAGCTTTTCTAAAACCCAAGGACTCCCAACTGGATGAAGTCAGGTGCCTCTGGCACACCAGCATCAAGCAGCAGTGTAACGAAACCAAGAGACAATTAACCAAGCAACTCCCTTGAGGCCATGGATGACACCAAGGTTCTCACTCACGTGGGTACAGGTCACTCATGCTGTCATCTGTCTCCTCTCCATCCTCCTCGCTGGACTTTGGCTCCCAGAACTCCTCTTTCCTGTGAGGCTGCCTGCTCCCGTTCATTTGGTCATCAGGGTGCTGTGCCCGCTGCTTCTTCTGCCTCAGGCAGGCAGGGACGTACTCCACTCCTTCCCTCTGGCATTCCTCATCTAAGAGAGAAGATCAGGCAGCACTGACCAGCTGCCCAGCCCCTGAGTCCTTCCATTCCCAGCTCAAGCTTGTAGGAAATGCAACTCAAAAGTCCAGCATGCTCCAAATATACATCTACAGCAACACTATGGACCAGGGAAGATGTTAACACAGATTGTGCTGGACACATGAATCACACTCCCTGGGGGAGTTTCAGAGCTGATTCTCTTAAGGAAGGCTGTTCCAAGGTATTTGCTAGAAGCCAATTGCTCCCTACATCTGAGACCTTCCTTCCTAGCTGAGGAGGACACAGTAACACACTGCTATCAATTTAAACAAAGCTGTGCCACCCACTTCAGAGAGATCCACTGGAACCTCAACAGCTTGGGAAAGACATGCTGCCTGGTACAGCTTCAGAAAAGCTACTTACACGTTTTCAGGGCCTTCTGGTAACGTTTCCCTTGGACATGACGCAGGACGTGCTCTGGAAGCTTGTTGATGTGTCTGAGGGTGAGCTTGCAGAACAGCTGGTGTCTGACAGACACAGAAAGGACCAGCAACAGAGTTAAAGTGCGCTGTGACTCCAGAACTTTTCAGTTACAAGCACTGCAAGTTGCTCAAAGTTGATAAATACTTTATAAAGCCTTTTCCAGTCTCCCCAAATTCATAAATACCTAAGAACTTTGTAAAGCCTTTATGTCTGAGATTGAACAAAGTGTAAAGCACAACACAGGAGGGAAAATACGTACAAATTCTTCGTGCTGGGCACAATGTGGGGCTCAAATGTGCCATAGTCGAACTCTTTGGCTGCCTTGGTGAGCCGCTGGTACTTCTTTCCGCTGGTGTAAGCCTTCAGCTCCGACAGGCGACAGGGCAGCTCATGTCCTGTCAGCCTGCACCTCACCTGAAAACAACATTAATGGTCAGGAAACACAGGGGTTTAACCCACCGAATCTCAGAATCCATCCGGATGGAAAGAACCTGCTGAGACCATCGGGTCCAACCCACGGCCGATCCCCACCTTGCCAACCACGCCGCGGCACGCAGTGCTTCTGCAGGCATGGGGGCTGCACCACACCCCGGGCAACCTCTTCCAGGGTCTGATCACCCTTCCCGTGCCTTCACCACACCCCGGGCAGCCCCTTCCCGTGTCTGATCATCCTTCCCGTGCCTTCACCACACCCCGGGCAGCCCCTTCCCGTGTCTGACCGTCCTTCCCGTGCCTTCACCACACCCCGGGCAACCTCTTCCAGTGTCTGACCGCCCTTCCCGTGCCTTCACCACACCCCGGGCAGCCCCTTCCAGTGTCTGATCATCCTTCCCGTGCCTTCACCACACCCCGGGCA